TCGTGACCTCCAAATATCCAGGTCTGGCAAATAAACTGCCCTTTGTTATATCAGAAAGGGCTGTTTCCTCACACAAAAAAATAAAAGATTTATTCTGTATGAATGTTTATATTGAGTTCAACAACATGTGCACAACAACCGATATGCTTACTCCGGGTAAAGTCAAATATTTCTTAGGCTTCTCGATTGCCTGCATTTCTGAACTAATGCAGTGGCCAGCCAAATGTTTTTCTTACTATTTTTCATCCTTTTAGTCACACGCTAAACCAGCTGGTGTTTGAGACAATAGGGAGTTTGAAGTTGAAAGAATTTGAAATATCATTAGTAATATAATTTAAAGGAACAAGTAAAGATTTATTTCATGCTTAAAAAGAGAAGAAAATAAACACAACGTTTCAGTTGTGGAGACACCCGAAGAAGGCTCCACAGCTGAAACGTTGTGTTTATTTTCTTCTCTTTTCAGCACGGAATAAACCTTTACTTGTTCTTTGCAGCATACACATGCTGATGCAGCTACCTACTTGTAATATCATTTATATCTCTTAAAGCAAAGGGGTTGTTTGAGAGGTTTAACGCACAGTTTTCGGCTATAGCTCAGTCCTAATTTCCTGCCGTATTTGAACCAGAGCTTCCCAGGACTTCCTCAGAGGAGCTGCTCGAGCTCCTGTTTCCCCAGTGTATTCAAACCATTATACAAATAAAGCTGAACCGACCAGAGGAAGCTCATTGCATGTTATGAGTGAAACATCAAGGAAAAAAGGTTGGAAATGGAGCAGGATAGCACAAGGAACCTTTCACCTTTCAAGAGGGTGTTTGCACCCATCTCTGCTGGACATAGATTGAAAGATTTTTTTTTAGCTCCTTTTGTGTGTGCGTGCCTTTTTTTTTTTTTGTAAGGATGCTAAATTGTGTAATGGTAAGTTAAGGATTTAGAAGGCAGATGTCCTTGTTGCCAAACAGCTATTGCTGTCAACTCCATCTTGCAGCTTTGGCAGTGGTGCAGACTCCAAAGCCTGAATGAGCAAGGAGACCAAACTGCCCCCTGCTCCATTTTTCCGAATCTACCCAGGGCAGAACTAATGAATCAGAGCCATTGTGTGGGGAAACTATTCCTTCTGCTGTGGTGGATAGAGAAAGTGGATTGCAGGCAAATGGATTAAGCACAGTGGGGGGAACAGACCGAAGAACAATCGAGTTTTCAACGTGTTCATTTCAAGAATTTTCCTTGAGAAAACAAAACCAAAAGAAAATGCCTATAAAATGCTCTTTTTGCTAACTTATTATGGATGGTTTTTCTGTCCTTAAACAATCCCCTCTCTCCTTCCTTACCTCTTGGAGAGTCTCATAAGGGTAAATGTATATATTAATTTTACCTTAACTTGCCATATTACATAGTTTGTAATATCAATGTAAATTTGTTCGTTGACATTTCCTGGCTGGCTTTCATAGTAAAAATAACCTTGTTATCTATTTACATATTCAATCACTGTATTTCTCTGTGTGAATGTGTTTGTTAAAGGAATGCTGGCAGCTTTCCAGGTTTTTTTTTTTGTTTTGGTTGATAAAAAAAAAATTGCTGCCTGTGGTACACATCTACTTGAGAGAGAACACACAGTACTGGGCTGGCCTTTGAAATTGGCAGTCTGCGTACTGTTCTCTGACTGATAAGAGGGTACTGTAAATAAAACTGTACAGCACAGCTCGTTATTGCTAAAAGAGAAAAAAAAGTGTGATGTCTGTACTCATTGTTCTGACGGCACTGTTTTTATGGATTTTTCTGTTTTTGGTACTACGCGTACTTTCTTATATAACTCATTCTTCTGTGTAGCCCCACAAAGAGTAAGGATGCATTTTTTCCATCCTCAAGGCATATTTGCAAAGAAGACAGTTGAAGCCCCTAATACAAATTCGTGCACACTTTGTGCGTAACTTGATGTCATGTTGTTCTTAAAATAAAATTGCTCCATTTGGTGCACTGCAACGTTTTGAAGCTTTTTGTCAGCTAAACTAGCAGGAACCCCTGGGTATCAGGATATATGTGATTCCCTTTTCCCTGGAACAACGATAGTGGACCATTTGTGTGGTCATATACTGTACAATAATTAGAATGTTACCCACCATTGTGGTTTCCTTTGGGATTCCACAAATGCAAGTTTAGTGGTTCTAAATTAAACACCGTTACTGTAAGTTGTCAATTTGAACGCTCGCTGTAGTTAGAAACTGTAAGTTCTTGAAAAATCACCCCTTGGTTGCGCAAAAAGGAAGTGAAAACGGAACCTTTCTGAATGGCACGTGGCAGCTCTCTTCGCTTGTTTGAAGTGATGGTTGTGTAAGGTTCCTCTTGCCAGCATGTTCATCTCAAAGGAAAGCAGTGCTTTTTGCTTTTCCTGTATTTTCTCTTTCGTCAAACTGATATGGTTGTATCACTTTTAATT